GCCAGGGGTCTACCTCAGGTCCTCGTGCTTCTGTGTGAGCACTTGTCTGCCTTAGCTGTGTTCCCAGTCCCCTTTCTGAACAGGGGGCATCTTACCATTCCTTCCTTATCCATACACACTTTTAGGTTGTTCCCAGAATTCCTGCAACTTCTCCAGTGTGTGCCCACACTCCAGACTCTCCTCCTCCTCTGAACGTGCTTCTTTCTCCTCAAACCCTCTGACTGCTACCTGCCTATTTTAGCTTCAATCTCTTCAGCAGAATCTGCAAGACTTGTGACTTAACCTGTCTGTGGGTTTTGCTCGAGAGATCAAGACCAGCAGCCAATTCTGGAGCTTTCCTTTTTTTTTTTTTTTATTATAGCCTCTTCGATGCCCACTCATATCTGTGTCCTGTCCTGGGTTACTTGGTGGCCCAGAATTTATTGTCTCATATCTTCAAGAAGAGATTACCTACCAGCCTCCCCAGATAAAGATGAATTAAATCCTAACACCAAAAAAGTTTTGAACAGTGAACTGAGAAAATATGGCTCAGGTCTACTGATATTTATTGTTTAATTTAATAAGGATACAGTGTGAAGGCATTAAAGTAATAAATGGCTGGCATTGTCCTTGCTGGGTTTCTGTCGGGTATCGGGTGTCCCCAGGAAGCTACGGGTCTACTGCTGCAAGGTGCTTAATCACTCATCGCTTTATCTGGCAGCAGGCAGAAGGGGGGATGTTCTGGGGTTAAAATGAAAGGGATCAATCTCGGCTCTGGGTATGACAAGCAAGAGCGGACACTCAAAGGGCCCGTTTGAGCAGCCTGACTTGTCCTCTCCCTCGGAGTGTTCCTCTTCAACACCAAGGTAGGATGAAAAGCTCCCGAGGCTAGAGCCAATGCTGCCATCGGCCAAAGGAGGTGTAAATTGCTCAAGTCCTCGCTCAAGGACTTGGCTGACCCCCAGAATTCCGCTCCATCTAGCAGAAAGCAGACGACTTAGACGGAGAGGTTTCCGTGTGGTGGTTATCAGTCAACCACATGGACCGTAAACAAACGTCAGCTCAGTTGTGGTGTTGGCTGCTGGCCCTGAATACTCCTGACCCGATCATTTTAGCTGCAAAATCCACCGCTAGGTGACTGCCTTATTGGACGGAATAGTTTGTTTTGGACTAGTGTCTGAGATACTGGGGAAGCCCCTGGCTCAAACAAAAGAAGGATGTGGCTGGTACCAACCCGGTCCCATCAGACGATAATCAGACCTGGTGTTCACATTCAGCTGCTCAAATTTTCATCCCCCTCATCCTCCTGCTGGTTAAAGTGCTGCTCTCTGCAGCCTTCCCACTCCCTAGAGCTGAAGGACATGATTCAATTTATGCAAATGTGTTTAGAAATTTGCATTGACTTGTCAAAAGAATTTTTATACAGCCAATAATATTCCAGTTTAACAGTAAGATGATATAATTCCAGTGGAAGGCCCAAAGGTCTATTCCCAGGCTAGTTTACTTGTACTGAGATCTCTTTTTGATGAGCTCCAAAGCTGTGGGGATGGAGAGAGGGCACAGCCACTGAAGGTGGGTTGGTATTTATTTTCTTGTGGAGAGAGTGGGCACCTCGTGGGACATGGTTATGTTTCGCATGCAACAAAAGATGGTATATAGCAGATCTCTCTTTTGCTTTCATCGTCATGCACATGCACATACATGTTTCCTAAACCAGGAAAATTCAGGCTGTAGATAGCTCAGAGGTAGAGCACTTGCCTGGTATTTGCAAAGCCATGGATTCCATCCCTAGCGCTTGAAAAAGGAAAGAAAAGAGGAATAATCCAGGCAAGCCTGGAATATAAGGCACGAAAGAGCCTTTAAAAAAGCATAGGGGTCTAGGCTGGTGAAATGGATTAGCTGTTTAGAGCATTGGCTGCTCCTCAAGACGACCCACATCCAATTCTCAGCATCCACAGTGTTGGTAACAACCATCTGCAACTCCAGTTCCAGGGGATCTGACACCTTCTTCTGGACTTTGTGGCCATTGCAGAGTCACAGTACACAGATATTCCTGGAAGCAAAGCACCCACACACATAAAATAAAATGTAAAACAAATGAATAAATTACAGGAGTTGAGGCCATGGATCAGTTGGCAAATCCCTGGCCATGCAAACAAGAGGCCCTGAGTTTGGATCCCATAGGAAACGCCAGGTGTGCTGGCAAGCATCTGCAATCCCAGCTCTGGGGAGGCAGAGACAGGCAGATTCTTGGAACTCACTAGCCAGCCAGCTTAGCTGAACAGGCGAGTTCTAGGTTCAATGAGAGGCCTTGTCTCAGAAGAATAAGGTGCAGCCATGAAGAAAGACACCTGGTGTTGCCCTCTGGCCTCCACATGCCCGTGCACACACATGTGTCTACATGCCCGTGTGCTCAGACTCACGGAGCATGTTCCTATGCTGCTCCCATATATACATTTTTTTTTGAAAACGCCCCATAAGATTTCCTTTTGAAAAGCTTGAAAACAGGAACACCAGGTGCCCTGGGGCAACGTTGAACGGAAGCTGCTTCAATTCCTGTGTCCCTCCCTTACTGCTCAACATGAGCAGCAATGGCAGTCTGATTCTATAATTCCTGTATGGGACCCTAGTTTACAGAATGAGCGGCACAGACAGGGTTAAGATGAAGGATTGGGCCCCATGGATACAATACAAGGTGAAATAAACTCGCTGATGGCCTGTTTCTCATGACCGGATCTCCACAGATAAGCTTTCTTATCCTGCAGGGTCCTTTGCTAAGAGACAGTAACTGTGTTCTTCATGCATCTTACAGCCATGCAATGGGAAGGAAGAGGCTACTTTAGTTTTGGGGAATGCTGGTCCAATACTGGATAGGAAGGAATCCAGAATACACCGTCATAGAGTAAAGGGTAAGGCCTGGAAATGGCTAAGTGGGTAAAGCGCTCCAGTGTAAGCAGGAGACCTGGGTTCCTGGTACTCATACATCTAGAACATACATCTAGAACATACATCTAGAACACACATCTAGAGCTCCAGCACTGGAATGGGGGGCAGAGATTCCTGGGGGGCTGACAATCAGCCAGGCTAGAGAACCAAGGTCCAGGTTCAGTGAGAGACCTCGTCTCCAGAGAAAAGGTGGGAAAAATAAGTAAGGCCCCATTGCTTCAGAGCAGATTTGGCATCTGGAAAGGCGTTACTCACTGTTCATAGACAGCACATTTCATTGTGACAACATGACGTGGAAGAAAATGGCTGGCTCACTGGGACCCTAATTTTTTAAAATTGAATATCTTTGTTTTTGAGATTTTATACATGAGTTTATATTGTTGTTTCCACACCCCCTTTAGTTTGTTTGTTTATTTTATTTTATTTTCTGAGGTCGAGTCTTGGGTATCCCAAGCTGCTCTCAGATTTCCTACGCAGACAAGGGTGGCCTTACATTTCTGATGCTGTTTTATCCTAATTCTCCTGGAGTTCTAGACCACACCTGGTTTATGTGGTCCTGGGGATTGAGCCCTGGACTTCACACATGTTAAGCAAACACTCTTCTAACTGAGCTACATCCCCCGCATCTAAGTTCTTTTATTTAATAAGGCACTAATTTCAGTCTTGAGGGCAAGCATTCTGCCCCCGATACCAGCATCATGGGGGTTGGGATTTTAACATACACAGAGGGGAAGATATGTAAACACCTAAATCATAGCATATTGGGTTAGCAGTGAGTCAGAACCCAGCACCCACATAGCTGCCCATGTAAATGATCCTGTCCCTGAAAGGCAGCAGTGTGAAAACAGCTCTGGTGACTCAGCTGCACCGAGATCTAGGATATGCAACGGGTGTGCAATGGGTGTCCAATGGGTGTGCAACAGACCAATTCACAAAACCAACCCCAGATGGGGGTGGGGCTCACTTCTCTGTCACCTTTTAAACTTATCTTAATTGACTTGAATACATGTGTTGTCATTAGAGGCCTTCATCATCCCCGAGAGAAACTTCTCATGGGTGGGATCTGCACATGGATGCTGGCACAGCTTTCTCTCAGCTCAGGGGACAGAGAAGAAGAACATTTTCTTCTACAAGGTTCACGAATGTCCAGTAACATAGATTCTCATGTCAAAGACTGGATTCTGTTCCCATTTGATTCAAATTTATTTTCTTTTACAGACTGTGTCTAAATGCCCCAATTCAGAGTCCAAACTAGGACTTACTCGTTTTGGACATTGTATAGCTGGTTTGGCCCTAAATTATACTTTCTAAATATATTCTGGGATTCAGCTGGCTTTTGAAGCCCTGACACATAATTATATCAAGACATTTTAAAACCTATTTTCTTATAGGCAAAACCAAAACCAAATGAAAGAGCTTTTCCTTAGGATATAGGCCAAGGATGCTGAGACAAGACGGTGGAACAGTGGCTTGGTACAGGTGACCCCATAAGATACTGAAATCTTTCATCCATCCTTTCTTTGACTACTCTCTGAAAGTAACACTGGAAAAGGCGGACAAGCTTGGATGCAGTGACTTAAAGTGGGGGAGGTGCTATTAACTGACCTCTGTGGGCTGGGGTGACAGCTTAGTTGGAAAAGTACTTGCTCCACAAGCATGAAGACGCCTGTTCTCCAGAACCCACCTTAACAACAACGAAGAAGAAGAAGAAGAAGAAGAAGAAGAAGAAGAAGAAGAAGAAGAAGAAGAAGAAGAAGAAGAAGAAGAAGAAGAAGAAGAAGAAGAAGAAGAAGAAG